ATGAGTTACCCAGCTCTGAACTACAGTAGCTGAGATCAGATGTTACCCTTGATATGAACTACAGTAGCAGGGGTCAGATGAGTTACCCAGCTCTGGACTAGCTGGGATCAGGGGAGCGACACGTTCACTGAAGAGCATGTGGTGTCTGTGCTGCCTGTTCTTACAGGGAGCTGTAAACCTGCATAGTGAAGCTCAGGTGGAGGCCGCCCTGCTCCATGAGGAGGTGCTCTCCAGGCTGTCGCCCACAGTCCCGTCTCCCGATCGTCCATCGGCGACAGGCCACCATCCGGACTGCGGCACCCGCCCGGAGGGTGTCTCCCCGGGGGCCGCCTTACAGAGCTCCTGCGTGGGAACTTGGGCTCCAACCGGCTCCTCTCCCCGCAGACTGCTGATCTTTCACTGCGAGTTCTCCTCAGAGCGTGGGCCCTGGCTGTATGTCTAACCCCTGTGTATAGAACATCCCCTGCTTCGCTTGTGCAATTGCGGCACCCAAAAATGCCAGCTGCTTCTGCATTCGTGTATCTGCAGTTGGTATGTACTTAACCTCTTCACATTTGTCTTGTTGCCAGTTGTCGTTACCTTCGAAAGATGGACAGGAGGCTCAATGCTTATCCCCGGCTTTTCTACCCGGAGCTGTACGTTCTGGCGGGAGGCTACAAGGAGTTCTACTCCCATTTCGAGGTAAAACGGGGAACCTCAAGTTGAACCTGAACAGAGACAAAGTCAAATGTAAATAGAATTCCACGAGATCAAAATCCTGTCGTTAAACACTTCAACTCAAAAGTAACAGTACTGTACATAGGTATGTTTTCCTGCTCATAAGACTTTTTTTATTAGTGTAAAGAATTCAGGTTAAATGTGATTTACTTTTACTTATAAGCTGTAATTAGTCCTGAATTTGAAAACATTCTTAAGAGTTACTGGCAGACATTAGCGGCGATTACAAAAAGTGGAACGTGTAGCAATCTAAAATTGTAGCAATAGTTTCCTCTTCTATTACACAACAGGGAGGAGTGCAGCTGAAGAGCAGAGCTCAGTGTTGTGTATGTAACTGACCCAGAATCATGAATAATTCACTGTATTCCAACGCTCCGAAATGGTTATTCTCCGCAGAGCCTCTGTGAGCCCTGCAGCTATGTGCCAATGCTCCAGGAAGAATTCAGCGATCAGATGCACAGATACCGGCGCAAGAGGCGGACACGGCCAACACAGTTTGGGACGAAGCAACTTCTGCAATAAATTCTATAAAACCGAGTTGTGACGGAGTCTTTTTACAACATGGGTGAAAAACTTCACACCTATAGTGTCCGTTTGTTTTTGTTCCAGCTTTAGTGATCAGACTAAACACGTGACTCAGAGCATATCTGGAACGAAAGCCACAAGGCCTAGGTGTCGGGGATCCGGCAGGTAGTTCTCTCGCTGTTCTTGTACGTAGCCGTGAATTCTGCGAGATGCAGAGGCAAAACAACCCAAAATCGTAATCCAGAAGCAAGGTCGAGAGGCGAAGCTGGAGATCAGCCGAGACAAACCGAGGAGCCAATCCAAGAGACGAGATCAAAAGGGAAAGGTTAAGTCCAAAAACCGGGAAATCCAGCAAGAAAGTAACGCACACTAGAAAACTCTAAAGGAGGCTTTTCAATAGTGAGCAAGGCTTGGTGCGTGAGGGAACTTTAAATAGTGAAGGGAGAGGGCCGTGGTTGGATGATGGGTTCAGGAGCGAGAATCTGTGGACTCTGGTGCCTGTGAGAATGGGATGGGTTCAGGAATGAGAACGTGAAACGGTGGGTTTGGGAATGTAGTGGGGTTTGCGAGGGGCACGTGTGGGACGTGACACCAGGTCGGGAAACTAGTTTGACACCCCTGATTTTTAGAACCACTGAATGAACTGACAAGTTGGGTTTGAGGAAAATTGGAATTCATTCTACAAAATCTCACTGTTCTTGCTCTTCTCCAGCCACAGGCTGTGGGACTCTGAAGACAGACTGTCACCAACCAGCCCTGCATCAAACTGTAGGTGAAGTCAACCTTGGCTTTACCGTGCCTCTGCCGAAGTTTGAGCCAGCCACACCAGCTGCTGTTGTCAATATAAATACTGAGATTTCAATTTTGTAAGCAGTGTATTCGTTTTCTGACCGAAATATGAGGCCTTCACACCCCAGATGGCCCAAAACACATGTGAATTTCCTCCGATCATCAGTAGGGAGCTCGTCCCCACATTACAGAAGTCCATCCATTTTCTAACCGTTTTGTCCAATTCAGGGTCACAGGGGAAGCAATGGGTGCAAGACAGGATACACCCTGGACAGGAGGCCAGTCCAACACACTCACACCAGGGCCAGTTTTACCTGAAGCCAGTTAACCTTCCAGTATGTCTTTAGAATGTGGAAGGAAACCCAGGTGAACACGGAGAGGACATACAGTACAACCTCCACACAGATCCGAGGTCCAGATTTGACCTCGGGGACCCAGCGCTGTAAGACAGAAACGCAAACCACTGAATTGCACAAATATTTCCTTACAAATAATTTACACGAGAACATAAACAAGATTACAAATGACAGACAATGCCAGGCCATTCGGACCATCTAACCATGACCAAGCCTTTAAGACAAAAAGTCATGCAGCGTGTTACCTTTGCTGTGTTAGTAGGACGTACTTCAGTTTCAAATGCTCATTCATTTGGGGAGGTGCATGTGTATGAATAAGGATGGATGTTCATTCCTGCTTTTACAGTTGATGTGTTTAACAGTCATTGCACCGCAGGATTTAGCTGAATATTTTTTGAAGAACTGTCTGAAAATAAGGTGTAAGTAACTATGTCATTTTCTATATATACAATGTTACGATCCCTGCCTCCCGGCAACGGAAGAGGCAGAAGAAGGCGTGGTCTTAGTTCAATGAGTCTACCTATCAGAGTACATATTCACCACCACACCTCCGTCTCATCTTGTATGTAATCACTAGTCTTTCCCTACCTCCTCTCTCAGTACTGGTTTTCCGTTCGAGCTTCTTTGTTGCGCTACGCCTTCTACCTCTTCGTACTGTGTTGGTTTCAGACTTTGTTTTTTTCCCTTTGACTACGGTTTTTTGGATCACGGTCTGGCTTCGGTTGCTCTCTCCCCATTTGGATCACTGGCTTCCCCTGGACTCTTGGCTCGCTCCTTCGTCTACGGTATTAGGATCACAATTTGGCTTAATCAGCTCCTGCAAGTGGGTTCATTACTTGGTTTCGGTTTCACAGGCCGAATCCGTAACATACAAGCTCTATATTACAAGTGCTGCTTGACAATTTGATCTCTAAATGGGCAAATATCTGTAAGCAAACAGCAATCAAAAATAGAGAAATACCTGGGGGCTCACATGGTACCATATGAGAGTGGAGAACCTACGCAGTATGAATGAATCGTAAATGACTGACAAGATGCCCCAGTTGTACATGCCTGGTACAATCTGGGACCACTCCTGACAACGCCTCAGTGTGTCAGGTTGGTATAAGCGTGAAGTAGTAGTGGTGGAAATGCACGTTCAGGAGCTTTCTAATGATCTTCCCGTGGTTCGGATTAGAAGACTGAGGGCTTATGGGAATGTCTCACACTGACAGGCCGAAGGAACTGCACTCCAGTCTGGAACGGAGAACAGCATGAGTGGACCTGATACAGGTATTCATACTTCTCAAAGGCCCTGATAAATTCAACGAAGTGGACTTTTTCAGAATGTACACTGGAATGCAAACCATAGGACACAAGTTTAAATTACATGGAAGTGCATTTAAATCCGAAACCAGGAGGCAATTTTTTCACCAAAGTGTTGTGGGAGTCTGGAACAAGGTACCCAGCCATTCTGTTGAAGCCTGTACACTGGCTTCTTTCAAGAAATCACTGGATGAGAACCTCAGATCAATTGGCTACGGGCTACCAAATGAGTTACTGTATATGAGCTTTATGGCCTCTTTTCTTTTGGAAGTTTTCGAGCGCCTTTTTCTTTTGTATTATGATAATTACGGTAGATGAATTTGTCATTTGTTTCCAGAATAGCAGTCATTACGGTAACTAAAGGTCACATTGCTCTATCGCGCTCCGCTGACGTGCAGACAGCCGAGCAGATTTCTGTCGCAGGAAGACCGCAGCTTGCTCATTAGGAAGCCGTTCAGGAAGGGCATTAGTGCTGGTCTGGGCTAGTTCGGGTCCGGATTCAAAGAGGTACGAGTCTTGAGCGCATTTGGGTCCGAGTGTTAGCATCATTTCTTTTTTTACCGCCGTAAGTGGTGGGGGAAAAAAAAGACCCTTCGGGCATATTCACCTTGCTTGAAACGCAAATTACTTTTTCACCGTCCTCGAACCGACAG